GGGTCTGTGCTGCAGGGAGGCAGGGATTGTAATATGGGGGGCAAGGTCTGTGCTGCAGGGAGGCAGGGTTTGTATGGGGGCAGGGTGCTGCAGGAGGCAGGGTTTAGCAATAGGGGCAAGGTCTGTGCTTTGCTAGAGCAGGGTCTATGTCTCAGGAGCAGGGTCTGTGCTGCAGGGAGAGCAGGTCTGTAATATGGGGAGCAAGGTCTGTGCTAGGGAGGCAGGTTTTATGGGGGAGCAGGGTCTGTGCTGCAGGGAGGCAGGTTTGTAATATAAGGGGGCAAGGTCTGTGCTGCAGGGAGGCAGGGTTGTAATATGAGGGGCAAGGTCTGTGCACAGTGGGGTTGTAATATAGGGAACTTGAGGTCTGTGCTGCAGGAGGCAAAAGTTGTAATATGGGGGCAGAGTCTGTGTGCTGGGAGGCAGGGTTTGTAATATAGGGGACAGGGTCTGTGCTGCAGGGAGGCAGGGTTTGTAATATGGGGGGCAGGGTCTGTGCTGCAGGGAGGCAGGGTTTGTAATATGGGGGACAAGGTCTGTGCTGCAGGAAGGCAGGGTTTGTAATATGGGGGGCAGGGTCTGTGCTGCAGGGAGGCAGGGTTTGTAATATGGGGGGGCAAGGTCTGTGCTGCAGGGAGGCAGGGTTTGTAATATAAGGGGCAGGGTGCTGCAGGCAAGTTTGTAATATATAGGGGCAGGGTCTGTGTGCTGCAGGGAGGCAGGAGTTTATGTATAAGAGCAAGGTCTGTGCTGCAGGAGGCAGGGTTTATATGCTGGGGACAGGTCTGTGCTACAGGGAGGCAGGATTTTGTATGGGAGCACGGTCTGTGCTGCAAGGGTTTGTAATATGGGGGCAAGGTCTGTGCTGCAGGAAGGCAGGGTTTGTAATATGGGGGGCAGGGTCTGTGCTGCAGGGAGGCAGGGTTTGTAATATGGGGGGGCAAGGTCTGTGCTGCAGGGAGGCAGGGTTTGTAATATGGGGGGGCAAGGTCTGTGCTGCAGGGAGGCAGGGTTTGTAATATGGGGAACAAGGTCTGTGCTGCAGGGAGGCAGGGTTTGTAATATGGGGGAGATGTTCCTAGGATGGAGACAACGTCGTGACGTCATGAGAAGAAGACGGAAGTTGTGAACGCCGGAACTGAGGATGCGGCCATGACGCCGGAATGGGATATGATGACGTTGTGACGGACAGGAAAAGGCGCCAACTCTGAAAATATTTAAATAGTCAAGAAGGAAGGTGAAGGATGGACTTTTGATAAAGGCTTGGCCGAAACGCGTTAGGTTCAATCCACGCACAAGTGGACTTTATAGATATATGTTTTATTGTATTTGGTTTTATCAAGCTACCTTTAAGTGTGTCCAATAAATTGTTTGCCTGAATTCCTGCATCCCGGAGTATTTTAAAGCAAGAGTAACTTGAAGGACCACAGAAGGGGGACAGCTTGGAATTTGACCACCACGTGCATTCACCTGATACACCTTTAGTCTGAGCCAGCTTTTATCAAGTGGCTCATGACCATGTGAGGGTAACCAATTATTGTTTTAAGTTACACTGAGTTGCTACGTTATTACCCTATGCTGCGGTTCTTCTTATTTTATATTTATAGGAGTGGTTAAAGTGCCTATATACCAAAGTGTGCAATATACCAAGTGTGCAATAAGAGTAACATGCAATCTTTATTAAAATGCTCTCACCATTTATATTTTTATCTCACTGTATAATAGCAAGTGTTGCTTTCATCGCTTTGTCTTATCACTTTTCTCTTGATAACATCTTGCATTAATCTCTTTGTTTATTCTACAGCTACAGCTACAGAGAGAACATGGCCCTCTGCCTACAACCCACTGTCCTGGAACTAATGGACCATGCTGTGCTGGTGTATTAGGCATTTTAGGGAGTTTAACAAAGTATTGTGTCTTCTCTTATAAATATAAGAGGTAACTTAGGTGTATATATATATATATATATATTATTTTTTTATATATATTATTATTATTACTGCCATTTATGTAGCGCCAACAGATTCCGTAGTGCTTTACAATATTATGAGAGGGGATTTAACTATAAATAGGACAATTACAAATAAACTTACAGGAACAATAGGTTGAAGAGGACCCTGCTCAATCGAGCTTACATTCTATAGGAGGTGGGGTGTAAAACACATTAGGACAGGAATTTGCAATCAAATAAAGTGGGCTGCCCTTTAGGAGAGGGCAAGAGACAGGTATGTGAGGTAGGGGTTAGTCTTGGAGACCATAAGCTTTCCTAAAGAGATGGGTTTTAAGGCACTTCTTAAAAGATGCAAGACTAGGGGAGAGTCTGATGGCGGGAGGCAGGCTATTCCATAGGAAGGGAGCCGCCCGCGAGAAGTCCTGCAAGCGCGAGTTGGCCGTACGGGTGCGGACAACGGACAGGAGGTGGTCACGGGCAGAGCGGAGAGACCGAGAAGGGACATACCTATGGATCTGTGAGGAGATATAAGAGGGGCTAGAGTTGTTCAGTGCTTTATAGGTGTGAGTTAGTGCCTTGAATTGACTCCTATAGCACACAGGAAGCCGATGTAAGGACTGGCAGAGGGGTGAGGTGTGTGAACCGACTAGAGAGGAAAATCAGTCTGGCAGCAGCGTTCATTACAGACTGTAGGGGTGCAGTACGGCTTTTGGGAAAACCAAGCAGGAGAGGGTTACAATAATCCATGCGGGAAATTACTAGAGCATGGACAAGCTCCTTGGTAGTATCTGGTGCAAAAAAGGGACGGATGCGGGCTATGTTTTTAAGATGGAATCTACAGGATTTGGCAACATGCTGGATGTGAGGCTCAAAGGTGAGACCAGAGTCAAGTATGACGCCAAGACAGCGCGCTTGCAAGGATGGGCTGATGTTGGTACCACAAACTTGAAGGGAGAGCGAAAGAGGAGGATCAGTATTAGGAAGAGGAAAGATAAGGAGCTCAGTTTTTGAGAGATTGAGTTTCAGAAAGCGTGAGGACATCCAGTCAGAGATGGAAGAAAGGCAAGCAGTGACACGTTGCAGGACAGCAGGGGAGAGGTCTGGGGAGGAGAGATATAGCTGGGTGTCATCAGCGTACAGGTGGTAGTGGAATCCAAATGAGGTAATAAGTTTGCCAAGAGAGGCAGTATAAAGAGAAAATAGAAGGGGACCAAGGACGGAGCCTTGGGGGACTCCAACCGAGACAGGGCGAGGGGAGGAGGTATCATTAGAAAAAGAGACACTGAATGAGCGTTGGGAGAGATAAGAGGAAAACCATGAGAGGACAGAGTCACAGAGACCAAGCGATTGCAGAGTTTGAAGAAGGAGAGCATGATCAACGGTGTCAAAGGCCGCTGAGAGGTCAAGAAGAATTGAAGATTATACTAGCTTTAGTGTACTAATAATCTTAATTTTAGTAATGACAGGAGGCGAATATTTGCATATCTTTCTTTACTCAAATCTCCAGCAGCATAGTAACATAAACAACCAATCAGAAAAAAGATATAATGCCCATAAAAGGCCCTGTCTATGACATCACTTCCTCTTTCTTTGAAGCGAAACAATAAATAGCAATAAGAGACATAATCATATTACGTCAACAGTTCAACAACATATTAGAATATCCAACTCCACTAGTTCCGCGATGCAGAGGTATAGAAGGTGAATCTTTGTCACGATGAGAAGACGTTCACGCTGCAAGAAAAAGAAAAAGGTGAAAGGTATCTGGCGTGATAACTTGTCCGCATACAATAAGCATTAAGCATCTGACATACCAGCGAACATTAGAGTGTGAAACATATCAATATATATTTATTCTAACGCAATGATATTTAAGAATCTATAAACACAACATAATGCAAGGTTCACGTCTAATATTCAGCCAATACAAGACCCACAAGATACAGGTCTAAGTAGCAAACATACAAACCATACGTACTTACCTTCCTGAACATAAAGGACATATTCTGTTCAACACGAGGAACATGGGAGGGATTCTATAGGGTGGGAAATATTCGCCTCCTGTCATTACTAAAATTAAGATTATTAGTACACTAAAGCTAGTATAATCTTCAATTTTACCACATGACAGGAGGCTTCATATTTGCATTTTTAAAGCTTTGAATTGACCAATGTGAAGGAAGCATGAGATGTTTGCCGAAAATAGAACGTTCTAAACGTACTCTCTCGCGCTCAGTCCGCGCAGCGTATAATGTCGGCTAGGGAAGCGTCGGCCGAAAAGGTTTGTGAGGCCGCTGCTCCCCTGACCGAGTGGGCTCCGAAACAAGGTTCGACGCTAAAGACAAAACCCCGCGGACCCATCTGGCCAGTGTTGCGGTAGACAGCGGTCCATGAGGGTTTACGTAAGAAGTCAGAAGGTGATCCGTCGAGTGAGTTCGAAGGGGGTAGAGATATTGGTGTACCCCATTAGCGTTCTGACCACGCATAGTGTGGCGTCTGACACAAAGCATGGGTATGACACTGAAGACGAATCAGACTTAGTTTGTCTCGACATGGTAAAGGTAACCCCGTCTGGTGTGAGAGAGAAACCATCCATATCGCAAGCCCTAACGTCCGCCACCGTCTAAATGAGGCGAGGCATAATAAGAAGGCTAGTTTGGCTGAAAGTTGCTTCAGTGACCAACAAGGATTGTCCGGCCATTCCCTAAGGAATCTCGGCACCACATCCACCTGCCAGAGGCGTGAATATTTGGGTGCCGGGATCTCGACAATTCGGCACCCCGCAGTAGTCGACAAACCAGTGTATCTTGACCTACTGGTCTGCCCTGTACCGGAACGTGCGCCGCCGACATGGCGGATCTGATCACGTTGAGGGATCGATATGACCGACCCAACGAGACCAGGTGTGACAGATAGTTGGGGATCAGTGGGACAGGTGCGGTAAAGGGATCGGAATTCCTTTCCACACACCAATCACTCCAGGCCGACCAGTCAGAAATATAGCCTTTCCTGGTGCCGGGAGCCTATGAGTCCCATAGGAGGTCTTAGTTGATGCAATAGGTCGTGATCTGACCAGGAGCCCCTGAAGCCGTCCAGGCAACTAGTGCCAGTTGTCCTTCCATGACAAGGGAGTGGGCTCCCCCTCGAGGTCCCGTCAGAAGTAGAGGGAAGGTAGGGAGTAGTAGAGGGTCTTCGCGAGACATCTCCAGGCGATCCGGGAAATCACGGTTGGCCCTGCCCGAGGGGTGTCATGAGCAGGAGCGATATCTTGTGGGTGTGTGTGTGTATCGAAGCACCTTTGCTATTGTGGAGAAACGGCTGGGTCGCGTTTGCAGGGGTTCATCCATCGCCCCGTATCCGAAGGAAGAGTCAAAGATCGTTTTGCCAATCCAAGTTTGTATGTGAAGTAATCACCATCGAAATTCCATCCTCACTTCCGCCGACAGTGGGATCCAGTGGTCATATGAGTGAGCGGTGCGTACGTATCTCACCATCAGTCATAGTGGGCCAGGGAATAACGCTTGTATGGAGGAGGAGAGGAGGAGAGGAATCCCACAATCCGACAGTTATCCTTATAGAGGCGCTCTTTGCCGTAGACTGACGCGGAACATAGTTCTCCAAGCCGATGTCGAAACTGAGGAACTGGCCCGATTCAGATGGAGAAGCGATCTTTGTCTGTGTACAACAAAAAATCCCTGGAGTCCCGAAAGTGAACGACAAATCTGTCTGCAAATGTAGTCTGGATTCGTAAAGAATCAGCAAGTCTTCCAGGTATACAAGGCATCGCACGCCCAAATTTGCGGATGTGTGCCCTCACTGGTTACAGTAGGTTCGCGAGCACCACGGAGTCGTAAACTGCCGTGTTTGTCCTCACCATCGGAATCGGAGGAAAACTTCGGCAGTCCAGGGCAACGGGTACCGACAAGCGTGCGTCCTTGAGGTCCAGATGTGTAAACCAGTCGTTATCGCCTAGGAGGTCTTGTAGAAGACGAATTTCCTCCATCTTGCAGCATTTGTATACCATGTAGGAGTTCCATTGATGTAGTCTCCTGGCTTCTTCTTGACCAGGAAAAATTTGTTGGGGAAGCCTTCCCCTCCGTTGCGTGTTGAATTGCGCACCTCCTGAAGAGGGTGCAGATTTTCTTGTCCACGAGGCGTTCCTGTTCCGCCAGCGTGCGTAATGGAGGTGAAGGGGCGACCTGCACGGCTGTGATAAAACTCTATGACATAACCTTGTACTGTCTGGAGAACCCAGGTGACTTTGGTAGTCGTCTCCCAATTCTGTAAAACAGAGACAGGTTTCCGGTCATAATATTGGAAACAGTTAGTTATGTAGGTTGACACACTAGTAGATGAAGCGGATGGGTTCCTTTGTGTAGTAGATGGGAGAAATATGAGGACTGTGTATACGATCTGGAACCTGTCGCCCAGAAGCGGCTGATGGCTCGGTTCAGCTACCGACCAGTCCTCCCAGAAACACCTTTCCCCGTAGGGTTGTGGAAGACTTGTTTTAGCGAGGTCTGGGTTTAGTGTGGTGAATAAATTCACGTGTTTTTGAGTACTGCAATGAACACTACGTCGAATAGTAGGCCTTGTGCTTTTGGGCCGAATACTTGTCATTCCTAGGTCCAATAGTGTGTTGTCGATGCGGCCCAGTACAGATTTGCGTCTGTCGGCGCATAGTGCGTCATTTACGTTGCCCAGGAGGCATATCGAGCATTGAGACCATTCTTTGGAGGTGGTAGGGTTGAGTTGTGTACCCTGGGGCAACTCGGTCTTGAGGCGTGCGCATCCTTCCATCCCCCGAGGGTTGTGCAGCCAATAGTGTTCGTCCAGGAACGTTCCGTCTTCGGCTACTCTGGTTTAGTGCCGCTACAGTTATCTCTGCCTCAGCCGCCGTCACGGAGTAAGGTTTCCCTAACTTACTTCGAGGAAGTGTGGGGAAGGTCTTGCCGTTCCATTTCCTCAGACGGTGAGCTGTCTTCGTGTCGCTCATCTACCATGTCCAAAGTACGTGGTGGGTAATAGTCTTTTTTGTCGGAAGATTGTGGCGGACGGGGTTTGGATTCCCGGTGCTCCGCCTATTTGGTCTGTTCGATGGGCATCTTGCCCTTGACCTTAGTGGCAGGGGGGCTGGAGCCCTTCCCTTGCCGTTTTGACTTGAAGGCTTGTGGGCCTGAGGTCTCCATCAAGCGGTGTGGGGTAGAGTTCATAACAGAACCTTCTCCACTGAGGCCGTTACTGTGGCGTTTATCATTGTCTAGAAATCTTAGGAACGTTGAGAGTGTCCACCATGACTCGTTCCCGTCCTGTTGGGAGATAGTGTGAGGGTCAGCACGTAGGGGTGTTAGACTCCTGGTAGAACTGGGGGTCACCCAGGTAAAAAGAGGGTTCACCTCTATTAGTTTAATCTGGCTACTGAGAGCCGTGGTGCAGGTGCGACTGACTGGTAGTGGTGTCGGTCTGGCTAGCCGGGTTCACCACAAATGTACGCCAGAGCTGTATGCCCGGTTTTTAACTATACAGGCTTACTATATAGGCGCATGGGGCCTGTCTCCAAAAGGTCTGCAGCCGCAGGACCCATGTCTATTAGGCTGGGTTCATCCCAGGTGGTGTGCCATGGTAACCCAGAGGACACCCATATTATACTTATTGGCACCTTACAAGCATTGCATGCATATCTGGGAGTCATCCCAGGTGGTGTGCCATGAAAAATTATCCAGAGGACACCCACGTTCCATATGTACACTAGGCACAGAAAATATACATATGTATCCCTGTGAAGGGTACACCGCAATACACTCAATTTTCTTAGTGATCCTGCCGTCAAATCGCATCCGGCATGGTACTGTTGCTTTAATGTAAAACTGACAGGCAGTGTTTAACCCCTTAAAGACACATGAGATGTGCGACATGTCATGATTCCCTTTTATTCCAAAGTTAAACATCCATAGTTAAGGGTTAAGCATCCATATATGTCTGTAGTAATCAGTGGTAAAGTTGAGGCGTAGGCCTCCATGCATATGATCGGGGTTCACCCCGGGTGGTGTGCCATGGTAACCCAGAGGACACCCACATCAAAGGTAATGGTCTGTCAGTGACCTTGCATGCATATCTGGGGGGTCACCCCAGGTGGTGTGCCATGAAAAAATACCCAGAGGACACCCACATAAATTTGCACCGTCAGGTACAGTAATATAATATGACCCTCTGTAGGGTACAATAATATAATATAATATGCCCTTTGTAGGGTACAGTAACATAATATGCCCTTCGTAGAGTACAGTGATATAGTTGATCTTGATATAGGTACAGTATATGTTTTGTATAACGACTGTGATATTGTATGGCTTCACAATAATACATAGATTGTGTGCCTGCTCATGAGAATAAAAAATAATAATTGTATATAATTTTTGCCAGTATGCCGTCTGATCCTGAGGAGATAGTAACCATGTATAGTATAACCCTAATTGGGGTATAGTAGCTGATATGACCCTAAGCAGGGCCTAGAGACATAAAGGTCTGAAGCTGGCAAAAAAGGGGGGAATGCTTGTCTCTTTAATGCATGCATATATAATAGATAGGCAGCACAGCAGGCAGGCACTGGGCAAATATATATATAGAAAGGCAAAAATCCACTGTAACCTAATACCCTCCCTTAGTACATACTAGGGAGGGTATAAAGATGTGGAGCCCAGCGGTCGGGTGAGTTACCGATCCGCCGGGCAAGCGGGGAAGGCGGCCGTCCGGTATCTCGCGAGCCGCGAGATCCAAGATGGCCGCCGCCCGCGTGTGAAGTAGCGCCGCGATCGGCCGCTCGGCGCCGGAACGACGAGGGAACGCATATCCCAGTCCCCCTCCACCCGTCCCCTTGCCGGCCCCACAAAAGGAAAAACGTTAGCCGGCCCGCAGCGCGCGGCACTGACAGCCGTTGCTCGCGAGTACCGGCAGTGAAAAGCAATAGGGGGCCCAAAAGGAAAACTGCAGGGACAGGGAGAAGGGAACAGCGAAAGTCAAAACTAAATAAATAAATTAATAAAATGAAATAAGTAAATGAAATAAATAAATTAGCTAAATAAATAAATTAACTTAGGTAAATAAATAACTTAGGTAAAAATAGAACAATACAATCCAAAATACAGAGAAACAAACAATATATGTAAGCAATTGCCAGGGAGGCAAAATACTCTGACCTGATGTTGGCTGGAGCAGCAAAGAAAGAGGAAGTGATGTCATAGACAGGGCCTTTTATGGGCATTATATCTTTTTTCTGATTGGTTGTTTATGTTACTATGCTGCTGGAGATTTGAGTAAAGAAAGATATGCAAATATGAAGCCTCCTGTCATGTGGTAAAATTAGTATGGAGTAGTATAGTTAAAGCTTACAAGTGCAAGCCCCACTTTGGGCGCCAATTGTAACCGCAGCCGGTTCCCTTATTTACCACTATAACGTCTTAAAGCATAGAACCTAGCAGGGCTAACCATACAGATGTCTCCAAATCTCTCCTCTGTTCGTTAACATATAAAAGGTACACATATTTATATCTTTTTTCATTTTAGGGTTACTGTAGTTCATATATGAAAAAGTCAAATTTCTTTTACTTTTATTTATTTTAGGACCTCCCTTAACTTGGCAAAGATACAAGGCCATAACTAAAACGTAAGGGTGCACACGTCATGGGAAATTCCCTGACTTAGGACAAGATGGCGTCTTAAAGTCTGATGACGTAGCATAGCCTTGAAGATGTTATACATTACTTGTTTTTGTATTAAACTAAAACAAATTGGCGTAAACATATTATGCACTGAAAATAGGTAGAAGATTATTGCTTAAACATATATGAAAAACAATATGTTCCATTTCTAACACCTTGTCAGTTTGCAATATCTCTTAAAGACAAAGTACACAGTTTAAAACTTGTAATATTTGCCCATAACACAGCGGCACTCTTTCCTGCAGAGCCATTAGTACTAGGAAGTCGCATACTGCAACCGCCTAATGCACACTAACATGCAATTGCTTAAACATGTCTAAGTACTATATTGAGGAGATGTTAATATGTAATCATATTCAAAATTTCTAAGAGGGCAGAAACACATAGATGTAACTTATGTAAAGCCATCGAGGGAGCTCCATGAAGACGTGAGGCACGAGGCCTCTACCCCCACGGCACGACAATGCAGTGCCAAGCCGTTTACTGGCCATATTTGTTGTTGTAATTACTTTATTTGCAGACATACTGTGCTTACCTGAGACCCATTTTAGGCACAATGACCACCCCAAAATACTTGCAACAGACTTCCCACATCAGTTTCATGCTACCTCTCCCACCAAGCCCAGAGGGGGATCCATAATACTAAGCATAAACATCACGTTTACCTTGTAGTCCCACGATAAAGACACCAACGGCAGATATGTCATA